GTGTGTGTGTGTGTGTGTGTGTGTGTGTGTGTGTGTGTGTGTGTGTGCATGTGTAAAGGTCTCCGCCTGACAGGAGAACAGTGGTTGTACAATGTGAAGCGCCTGTCTGGCAGAATGGAACTTGGGGCAGGAACAGCCAGACCCAGGGGAGCTGACCCCCTCGTTTAGTCAGCCTCTTGCAAGCAGCTGGGACTATCTGCTGAGCAAGCACATCCTGCAGGACAGGAAATGCACGCAAAAAGGACGAATGGGGTCCATTAACTCTCAAGGCATTTTTGTATTTCTCCTCTCACTCACATACTTAAACACACCAACTTGCACCAACTTGCATTTCTTTTTTTAATAAAAATCAAGCACACACGAGTCTATCGTTATCTTTCTCTTGGAAACTCAGCTCCTTTATAAGAAAACACAGACAGATACGCATATCATCTTTTCTAAAGAGAATTAATTACACTACACGAAACTAAGCCATCTTACAACGGATAGATGAGACGTGGCTGCTACTTGACTGACAGAGTAAATGCTGTTCAAAAACCCAGCGTCACATCATAGTCTATTTAAAAGCATAAGAATTGTTATTTTTGGTCAGCAACAGGCAGCAGGCCGCGCTGCTGGGTTCGCTGTCCGTGGTCCTGATCAGTGGCTTGTTTGGTTGCACTAGCAGGACCATGGACATAGACCCGCCTATTTTTAGCCTCGTTTCAGCCGCCCCTGCCCCCAGAACACAGGCAAAATCAGGCATGATTTACCTCTGTTCTTACAGTGACATGGATCACCTCTTATCTTGCATGATTATTTTCCCGTTGTGTCACTGATACCGGATGCCTTGCACGGTTTCAGCATAAACAATATTTTGGTATGGCGACGTACAGTCAACTAATGACTGCGAATTTAATCTGATACTGTTTGACTTTATCAAACTACCGTGATATCAATTACCCAAATTCCCCCCGAGGTATAACAAATATCGTATAATTTTTCCCCGACATCGGTTCTCCCGGTAATGTACTCCTTGTTTGCCGGCATGGAAAGTTCTGTGTAAAATGCTACCGTGCAGGGACTTTTGTCGTCCCCCATGGATGACTGAATAGACGCCCGGAGACTGTCAGACAACGTGTGAGACGGGAAATCGCTCATCGGGATGCAGGATGCAGTACGAAGACAAGCACATCCCGTTACCATAGCGCCGGCTTCTGTGGACGCCGCCTGACTCTTAAACAGGACCCTCGGGGGAATTGGGGATTGTAAGGATGTGTTGTCAACACTTGATGACATCCGTTGTCAGGGAGGGGAAGGGGTGGTGTGGGGGGGCTCCCCTGTCACTCCAAGATGCTCTCAACAAAAATCGAAAACACAACCATCCTGAAACGGATCTAATTAAGCAACGGGCAAAACCTCAGGAGGCCGTGATTTGGTGGGAACACAGATGTTAATAGCAGCATTTTGAGGTTATGAATCAGCAACAATGCACTGTAGTGGTAACTGTTGAAGAACTACTTTAATCCTCATCCCTAATTATCATTCTGCCACCAGGCGCGTTCTTAAAGAGACAATCAATGTTTAGGCCAATGAACTACACATACTCTCAGAATGAGGTATTTTATTCTGTAAGTGTATTTCACTTTTGGTACATTTGGCTCCCAACGTGTCTCAGCCAATCACCACTGAGAACCGGGACTATTAGTTTGATCGTTGCCAATAACGGTATAATAAAATCAAATCACGGGGATTCCCGTTGGATAGCAGTTGAGTGGGATTAAGGATGTAAAGTAGCCTACTGCCCGGCATATCGATTGGCCCTTGTGACAGATTAGAGCGATTGATCTGCACTCCGGGCGTAATGTTGACATGTATACATTTACTGCAGAGGACATGTTGGGGTGTCAGCAGTTTAAAAGGCCGTGAAGATACAAGACTCCGTGAACAACGAGTCTGGTAGAGATACCCTTCTTCTGTCCGTGAACTGTTGCATATGTGTGCTCCTTCTTTTACGGGTTAGCTACAGTAGATTTCCGTTCAAAGTTACTGTAACATCCTTGACTATCCATCTTTTACTGTGTAAAATGCCTTCAAAATATCGTTACAAAACATTATGAGATTATAATGAAACAACTGTCAACTATTCATCAACGAATATAAATATTTAGAGTGCTGGTCAAATTGTTTTGCCAACTAAAACAATGCAAGAGTGGGACGAAATGTCTCGATACATCTGCTTTTTGCGTTCAGTGAATCCATGCATTCGCTGTCGACAATCCAGGCGGCGTGTCGCCAGACATCGTTACAGATGATACCGTATTATAAACAAACTGATTCTTACCAAATCTTAAAACGTGTGGCATCCCGCGAGAGTGACCAAGAAACAGCAGCAGAAGCGGGATCAGCCTGAGGTTGGACCTGAAAACGAGACTGCTTATCATCAGATGATGGGAGGTAATCTTCATGTTGTTTTTAAAAAATGCACAGTGGTTTAATCCCCCCGGTGCGCGGGTTTGATTCTCCCGTAATTATTTTACGCTCGTTGGGCAAGGCAGGGTGACGGCGGCCCTGGATGCGCAAGATCACGGCATGGTCACTCGCGCTTTCCCTAAATCCATTAGCAGTCCCGGCATGATTCATTCCCCTTCCCCTTCTCCTCCTTCACTGCGCCAAGAAGCAACAATCCTTCGGGTCGAGGGACAGCGGGACATCCATGTCGAGGGGTACGGATCCAGTGGGGAGGGGGGAGCCCAAGCATGGGCTGTAGGTACTGGAGAGGGTTGGAGAGGGGCTACAGAGCACCACGCATAGGATACAGCAGCGATATACAGCCCGCTATGAAGCGCTCTGGGTTGCTTGCGCTCCCATTATACTGCACTGCTGCACAGGCTCTGACGTCGAGCCAAGGTTAGTGTTGTGAACGCGCACCAAGAGAGAGAGACAGAGAGAGAGGGGGCGAGAGAGGGAGAGAGAAGGGAGATGAATATACAGATAGAAAGAAATGAAAAAGAGGAAGGGTGAGGATATAGGGAGAGGGAGATGGATGGAGGGAAAGAGACAGAGAGAAATAATGGGCCGGGAGAAGTGGGAAACTTTATCCCAGGCTGTAGTGCCTCTGTTAGCCCCAAAACTTCCCGTCAAGCTCCCATGCAATTTGAGACGTGTCAGTAACGATGCAATCTTTCAGATGCACAGCAGTAACTTCAGCGTGAACCCTTAGCCTGCAAGCCTTCCAATCCGACCACATACGGATCCATTTACAAAAGCAAAGCATCTTTGATGGGTAAATGATGATGAAAATAAAATGTGGTCAACTTGTAATGAAGTTGCTCGTTATAAGGGGCAACAGAAACCTCTATTTTACAATATATATATATATATATAT